GTGTAACGCCCCACTTTTATTTACCGAAAATCAGAATAATGTTGTTATTAAGGCATTCAAGAGGATACCATGCTTCAGAGGAAGAAGATGGGTCGATTAGTGGAGATGTTTTGGTCGAGAAAGAAGGAAAGAAAGAGGGAAAAAAGGCCAAACGGGTGTTGGGCCATGATAAACCCACTTTTGTTGACGAGCCAGATTATACTACTTGGGTGCTTCCTGAAGGTAAACTGATTTGAGTTTTTTATTGAGAATTTGTTTATATTGTAATGGTAGATTCTTTATTTCCATTTACATTCGTTTATGCGCTTACTTTTGTATGATGGTCTTTTCCACAGGTCAATCGGGTGATGGGCGCACGTTGTTGAATGATCATTTCGGTTATTGACACTTTTGCCCTCTGTCCGTGCGCGTGGTCTCCACTTTAACTGTTCAGTCACCGCCTGGTAAATTGAGCAGTCTACCTTTCCATTCAGCACCATATGTGTATATACGAATGTATGTGTATCTGTTGAGCTAAATTTGACTTTAGTGATAATCTGTTTGTTGATTTTTTTTTCCAGAGGTTTTGGGAGCGGATGAAGACGCGGCAGAAGCTCGGTTCGAGAAGGTGTCGGAGAAATTCATCGTGGAGTGTAATTCTCGGGCGGTTCTGTATGCTTACAAGAAGACTGGCGCTGAGATCATGTCGGTGTTGAATGAGGACGAGAACAAAGTTTTTGGCATTGTGTTCAGGACTCCTCCGTAAGCAGATTGAATCCTGGTTTTAGCGGTAGATTACTTTAGCAGTCTTCCTCTGATCCGACAATGTTATTTTTCTGTTTTTATTTAAGATGAGCCACTTAATGAAGTTCCAACATATGTTAAAATGTTGATGCAGAAAAGACTCGACAGGAATTCCTCTCAGATTTTTGCCAAGAAAGTGGATAAGAGTCAGGGTAAGAGGAAGGAGTTGTCTCCACTTGATGCAGCGGTTCTTATTCAGAAGAGTACTAGGGCTTATCTCATACTGAAGAACGTCAGATGAGGGGGTTCTTATGCAGCGGTTCTTATTCAGATGAGGGGTTTCTTCCACAACTTCTCCTGCCGCCGCCTTCCGGCTCGTGATACTGAAGAACGTCAGATGGAGTTAAAGCCAACATTATGGAGGTACTCTGTGCTATCTGTAGCTTATCAATCCATCAATATATATTTCTTTCGTCAATTTTCATTTTATTCTATGTCTTTTGTCGAACTTGCAGCAAGATCTATTCTTTTTTACTTATGCTCATGTATGCAAAAATGGCCATGTTGACTCAGTCATTTTATGATTTACATATTCTGGTATGAGACTAAAGATCATACTTAACCTTTCCATTTGTATGTCTTATTACAGTTGAATTGCCACCATGGTTCTATTCAACGTCCTTTTCTTTGGAAACCCATGTGCACCTTGTAAGTCCCCATGAAGCTTGTTGGTTTCTTACTTCAAATTTGTTAAAACTCTGTTTTTCAGATGCCGATGATACTCCAAATTTGGTTTCTGAGTATATATATATGAGAAACCTCTTTACTCGATTTGCATTCTTACACTTAAAAAGGCTAACAAGACGTTCTTGATAAAAAATTATGGTTCAGGCGATGGTTCTAATATGTTCTAACATGATTCTATATATGGAAGTTGATTTTTCCACCCTAATGCTTAAAGTTATATTTGTGTACTTACCTTGCAGATACTTGCTACTGGTATGTGTATATACACAGGACACATCACCATCAGTATAGCTATTTTTTTTGACAGGAAACGATTTATATTTAACGCTGGAAAAGTAAGTTTTACTTGCTTTTTATTCAATTTTCGGAAGTTACTTTTCATGAATAATATTTAAGTCAGTGGTTAAAGAAACTTTCATGATTTCTTAATTGTTTAATTTGAACTTGTCATCCTATGATTTCGTGTAGAATTTATGTCCATAGATGTCTTATGGATTTGGAATTTTTTAGTATAAAATTTAATTAGAGATAGATTGTGGCCTTATTTAATAGCGTGAAACCTTTTCTTCAGGGACTTCAATGTTTCTGCAGTGAACATAAGAAACGGTGTTAGCAGGATTCAACTTTCGAACTTTCAAATGTAAATTCTTATAGGGCCTATCACTCCCATCTCTACCCTCTGCCCTTTTTCGGTTAAATTCAAAATTTTCACTTTAACCCTTACCACTTCCATCCTTTTCTTCCATATAATTCTCCTTTTCTTTCCCGATTTTGGGTAATGGGCTTCAATTTCTACTAACAGGGCCTAAATTTTTGTTCCTATTGTTGTCAGTATAGTACGACTTCTTGGAGTATGACGAAAAAGTGGGAAAACTGTAATGGGGTTTGTGGGTTTTGGGAAATGGCGGAAAATAGTTTGAAAATGAGAGATTTTGGAGGCAGTAAAGCGGCGCGGGCGGCGCAGGAAGGGTGGTGATAGCGGTGGTTGGCTGAGGAGAGGTGACAAAATTCTAATTGTTATGAACATAACAGTAATTAAAATAAATAATATTTATTAGAATAAATAAGATAAAATTATAAATAATTAAAATAATTAAAATAACTTATTATATTAATAATTAAAATATAATTATAAATAAAAAATTATAGTTATATTATAATAATATTTAATGTATTTATTTTAGAATTATTTTATATTAAAATTATTTTCTTAATAAATAAAATTTAGAAATTAAAATTATTTACTAAACAATTATAATGTAACACCTCGCCTAGACTTACTAAAATCAGAGTAAATTTTTCTCGCTCTAAATGGAAAGCGCTGATTTAATTTTCGAAAACTCATATTAATTTTTCGAAAATACTTTAACTTTAAAATGCGGGATGCTACTCAACTTTAATCTTATATCTTTATCTCTTTAATCTAACATGCATGTGACCAAGTAATGTCCTGAAGCTGGACCAACACCACATAACTGCTCACGCTCCACGCGGGACTCCATCACCTGAAAAATAGGGTAGTGGGGAGGCGTGAGCACAAAGGAATCAATGGTGCTCCACCGGAACCGGCACTGAATACTCAGCACAATTAATAATAAACTATGGAATCAACATATATATGAATAAACTGGTCTGACTATGGGACTAACGGTAAACCGGTACTCATGTGCACACTCTGGGGGTCCCCTCCCACAGAAATCCAGGTTGGGCCTCGCCCACTCATCTAGACGCTAGACTTTGGCTGGGCCTCGCCCACTCATCTAAGTCATAACTGACATCTGTTATCTTGACCAAGACGGGATCACTCATCCGTCTCGGTCCTTCAATTTAATAACATATAGATCTCAGACATGGTAAATTATTAAAAGCGATGAAATACACAGTACATGGTCCCCACCTGAAAACTGGCGAAAAGCGAATGCTGAATATATCTGGAATGGGTAGCTGATGGAGGCTCGACTCTCCTCAAGCTACAAAATATATTGAGCGAAATATTCTAAGTACTAAGCTCAGAATAAAACTCAAATCTTTAATATCTTATATATCTAGGTTCGCTCACTCGGCTTTAAAAATCATTTTAGGGATTACGAGCTGATTTTGAAAATATTATCGTCGTTGAGGCATTCTAGAGTTCTCTGAAATATTTCTAAGTCTGGGACTAGAATCTGACTTAATCTAATTTGACTGAAATCTAAACTATATCTGAATCTTTAATCTATCTGAAATTCTTAACTTTATCTGAAATCTTAATCTGACAGCATCTGAAATTTATCTGACATTTTATCTGAAATATATATCGAACAGTCCGACTGACCGGACCAGTTCGACTGAACTGGACC